TTTGGTAAAGCCATAGCTTAAAGCTAATAATGATATAATTGTTAGTCTCATTGTCAGCCTTTGCTGTAAAAACTAATGACTTTCACTTGGCAGTATAATAAACTTATTGTAAGTGAGAGGCTGGACGTTTCTCAGAAGAGTTCCAAAACTTTCATTTCAAAGCTTAAATGAATGATGGTGGTGTAAAATTCTTGGGAATTGTGAGTAATAATATATTATTTTAATGACTATATTAATGTATTAACATTAATTCAGGTTGCGATCTTGATGTCTCATTCAACAACCTTAATCATCTTATGGGAGTTAAGCAGTCACCAATTTGTACACATTGTAATAAAATAGTAGACCTTTTACATTTTCTGGTAAAATGTGAACGGATTGCAACTATAAACAACAAATTCCTTTATATAATTTGCCTTTATACAATGGTAGCATCGCCGTGTGAATCCCAGCATAGAATAGGCCACCCCTTCCTTTCCCGTGGGTGTCGTAAGAAACGACTACGGGAGGGCGAGGGATGGGCAGCAGCGTCCCTCTTAAAATATTCCTAAAGTCTAACTTTGGCTGCCAAGCATATCAACTACTTGCAAAACCCCTCAAAGGGGAAACCTATCTTCAGCAGTGGACAGTTAAAAGCTGATATGACGATGAATGGTAGCATCAATGTAATCCATAGCCAATCAGGCAGTCGCAATGTCTAACGCCTACATCTATGAGTATATTTATACATTCAGACATTCCCTATGAGGCTGACATAGTCACTCAGTGTACTGAAATCTCAAAAAAAAAAAAAATTTAAATGACAAAATAATACATATTATGCACAGTAATGGTATTATACAATCATAATATTATTGAATTATTGTATCGTAAATTATCTATGAATGAATCATGAGCTGTAAAACTATTATCCATTATGTATTCAGTTCAGGGCTTTAGCAATTTCTGCATTATCCTGTTGATAATGATAAAATTCATTAACCACAAATTGGCTGTCTTTTATATATTTATATACTTATTTATATATTTAGTGTCTTTATATTAAAATTAGAAAAAAATTGTCCTTATTTAATTATATATAATTTTTTTGCAAAAGTCCTAACGTCTGATTAGAAAGATCTTCATTAACTTTTTTTTATATTCAATATTTTTAAAAGTTTTGTTACTCTCTGTTATTGTTGTTTACAGTACATGTTTATTAAAAATATAACATAAGATAGAGTACTAAAAAAAATTTATTTAAAAACCAAACTACTCTAGCGATTTTCATAATTTAAGATATGAGGCGAATTTGAAAGTGTATCCTTTCAGATAAACTAAGAATTTTTAAAGTTGGTTTATAACTAATGCAGTTATGAGGTCACAAATATATATATAAAAAAAAAAAACTAAATTGAGAAATCTTCCTCTATCTCCTCCTTTCTTAAAATCGGTAGAAAATAAGCAAGAAGTAACAATATGTAATTAAATATAAAAACTATTTCGATTTATCTATTTGTTTATTAATTGCTGTTTGTGAAACAAAAAAAAATTCCAAGAGTGTAACTAACTGTAGGTAGCTACTATTAAAAATAAATTATTACGTTAATAATAAATTTTTATTTTATAGTGTAATTATTACATTAGAAGGAATAGCTAATAAGAATGCTATTTGGCATGTTTCCTATTGGCGACTTCACATTCTTTTAACTAATTAAGTAATTAAGCAGAGTGCCTCTTTAAGTCCTTTTGGATCCTGTATAATGTTACTAACATATAATAGTTTAATATGAAGACATTTATAATATTGTATGCACCAGTTTCATATATTTAATATATTTTATCATAAAAGCAATCCGAAATCAATATTAACAAAAAAAATTGGTTTTATAAAATAATTCTACCTTAACCAAATTTATTTGTTTATTCATAAAAAAAAATACTATATTATAACAGCAATAATAATAATAATAATTTATTTGCTCGTAATGTGGTATAAAGGTCTTAAATGGTAACTGATCTACACATTTCGCCTTATCTAAAGGCATGCAAATTTTGTCTTAGCACATGTTAGTTAGTTACAAAAGCCAAATCAATGTTATAGTAGTGCTAACATATAAAATTATAATAAATATATTTAACCCAACTTCAGATATTTCTGAGTTGTTTATAATATCTTTGGCAGGCTACTATTAAAAATATCAATAAATGAAATAGAATTAAAAAAAATTGTTTTAAATCAATATGAGGATGCAACACATAAAATATACAGTTGAAATGAGAGCAAATTTTTTAAAATCAGTTTAATATTTTATAATGTAATTTAGTTACAAAGTAGGCATAACACCTTGGTCATTAAGAATGTCAATGTGTGAAGGGTATCATGGGTTATACAGAATACTCTGTTACATCCTATGGTACTGTATATATCTATAGGTGACATTTACCACTTTCCATCAGGTGAGCCATTCGCTTGTTTACCACTCTAATTTGTATAAATAAAAGAAAAATGTGTGTATTTGTGATATAGATAGATAGATACTCTTTATTGTTTCCTCCAAAAGATTACAATACTAAACTTATTATAAATATAAATAATTACAAGAAATAATCACAGTGAGAAAACAATGGGGACTTTCTCGCTAAGAGCGATCTCTTCTAGGCAACCTTTGGATGGAGAGGAGTAATTATAAACAATTTGGTAGGAGGCACGATGAAAAATTTTGTTAGTTCCAGATATAATGTAATATCTCAAGTTAGTCAATAATAAATTCTGCATTACAGATAGTCAGATGACAAAAATAAATATGTACTAATTATTTATTACTAGGAAAAATATAGCTTTTATATTTTTTACAAGTTATGATATAATTTTTTTTTTTACCCTTGCTGATACTAATTATAACACATGAACAAACACAAAGTAGAAATTTACCCTCACAATACCATCATATTAATGTTACAATGATCTTGTTTGTGAATTTACCGTAATCCATGTCTCAGTAGGTGCATGTCCTATTTGGGTGAATCACATCAGTTTATCACTGGTGTGCCTCATCAAGCTAATGTTAGATTTTTTTTATAGAACTTAGAATAGCAAACAAGCTGACGGCTCACCTGATGGAAAGTGGTAACCGTAGCCTATAGACATGAGCAGTACCATGGACATAATAGAGTATACGAGGTTTGTCCGGAAAGTACGTATAAAAGTTTTTTAAAAATTTTATTTTACAATTATTCAGGTAAATCAATTTTATCCCCTTCAAAGTACTCCCCCTGTGACATAATGCACTTGTGCCAACGCCGTTTCCACTGTGAGAAGGCTCCTTGAAAGTCCTCTGGTTGTAGGTTTCTCAGCTGCCCCGTCGTAGCTTTTTTTATCTTATTTATGTCCCCCAAATGCCGCCCCCGAAGTACCAATTTGGTTTTTGGGAACAAGAAGAAGTCACACGGGGCCAAATCCGGCGAATAGGGGGGTGTTCGGTCACCGTAATGGAATTTTTACTCAAAAACTCACGGACAACAAGAGAGGTGTGGGCAGGGGCATTGTCGTGGTGAAGAATCCAACGCCCCTCTCGCGCCAATTCTGGACGAACTCGTGCCACACGAGCTTTGAGGCGTCTGAGCACATCGACGTAGAATTTTCCATCAACTGTCTGGCCTGGAGGGACGAATTCTTGATGGACAATCCCCCGAACATCGAAAAAAACAATCAACATTGTCTTGACATTTGAGCGGGATTTTCTTGATTTTTTTGTTCGTGGTTCCCCGGATGTCTTCCACTCTTTGCTTTCACGGCCATTCTTGCCGAGTTTCGAGAGAAACTTGATTACGACGCGCTGCTCTTCAACGGAAGCGGGCTCCATGCCGACGGGGTTTCGTTAAGAGGTAACTTCACAGATGGCGTGACAAGCCAGTTCGCACCGCACGGCGGTCAGACCAGAACTGAAGCATTGTTAGGGACATAAGGAAGGGGTCCTGCGCTTACCTGGCCTCCCCACTCCTCTTTCTCGCATTCCAGAACACTTTTATACGAACTTTCCAGACAGACCTCGTACTGTTTCTCCCATGATACCTCCCCTGCGTATGATATGCATGACTTTTGGGCAATTTCACATTCACTAGAATGTTGCGTTCACAACAAAAGACTGCCTCTTGTTACAGTATATATTTATTTATTATAATTAATATATAGTATAATTAATACCTATTATCTGACATTACATTTATTATTATCCATTAAGGAGGATTTTGCAGTAGTTGCCACGCTTGGCAGGTGGATTGACAATCGCAGTTAGTCTTTAATGATGTTTAAGAGGGACGCTGCTGCCAATCCCTTAACCATTAAGTTCTTTTAGTTGCCCCTTACAATCTCTAGCATAGATTTGATTCTTTAAATTGTGAACTTGAACACAGTTGCACAAGTATATCTGCTTGTATATATTTTTTATTATACTTTTTGTTTATGTTATTAACTAGAAAATTAATAATTAATAAAAGTAACTGGTTAGTACAGTGTTACTTTGCAATAATATTAAAATTATGTACTGTATTTGCCATTTTTATTAATAAACACAAAATTTTAAAATATCAACATACAGTCGCTTTAAAAAAATATTTATTAAAAAAGCATTTTCTTGTAAGCTGTATGTTTATTTATTGTCATAATCCATGACAGCATGAGTAATTTTTTACATCTGTTGTATGTTTATTTTATATGTTTTGCACAAATAAATATCGTCATAGGGTAAATAGGAATAAACGTATTGAATACAGGATAAATTTCTCTCTATTGTTGACCTTTTTATTAATGTTCAGCATATGAAAATTTAGAATTATTATGCACAAAGGACAAAACGTCAAGAAAACATCAATTATATCCAATTTATAATGCTTATTGCGCCTCATTTGTAGTTATATTGTTTAACCTTGTGAATCAGCTCATGATTATCGTTGTTTTGTCCTAAATTCTTGGACAAGACACAGTATGCGTGGATATGGAAATACAATGTAGCACCTACCTCTTCTCGTCGCTTGAGCCACCGTCCACAAGGACTCTCCTCCAAAATTTCGCTCTCGTCTTCCGAGTCTTCGCCACTTTCTCTGGGCGATTTTCGCTCCTTGTCGATACTTCTGCCACCCGACATAACACCAATTATTGGACACCACTACAATAAACAGAACTACCGCACAGTTGTTTAATACCTCACAGACGTTTTCAATCAGAAAACACTGGGTATATTTTCAAAATACACTTTTTCTTGTAACCATAATATCCAAGGCTGAAACTCGAGACGTCACGAATGTTTCATCCAAGACCATTATTCGATGCACAGCACTTATTAAGACTTCAACACACTGAATGGTGAAGTTTAAAAATTTATCTACACGATACGAGAGCACACAGCGTCTCTAGTGAGCGTAGTCATTATAATTGAAATAAATTGTTCACCGGCGCAGATCTAGACGTATTTCTATTCCGACATAAATATAAAAACCATAGTCAACAATCACTTTTTTTTCTCGATATGATTCATAGACAAAAGACTGCGTTCACTAGAGGTTGATTATTTTTTTATTTGAAAATGATTAATAGCTTATTTTAAAATAAAAAAAAAGGAATGAAATAAATAAAAGTAAATTTTATAGATATTATATTTGTATATTAGAATCTTCTATTCCTTAGATAATTTATATGTATGCTTATAGCGCCATCTATGATAGAACTGATTCAACTTAGATTTTAATAGATATATTATTTATTACTGTTTGTTAAATTAAAATTATTGTACTACTCATGAAAAATATAATATAAAATAGTTTGTCATTAGTACTTGAGTAACATAATATATTTACTAGCTTTATTATTTTTGTAAATATTATTATATATAAAATAAAATAACTAATAGCGCCATCTGTACCAAGATACGGAAATTGTATTACAGTACTCGAATACAAATAGTCTTTTAAATAAAGTATAGATGGCTCTATTAGAAATAAAAAAAGATTTTTTTTCACTGGTGATCCGCCAGCGTATCCCGTTAGCGCAGGCGGGGTTACCATACCATTTTCACCCATAAAAAAAAAAAAAACAGGACAGTTTTTTGCTAGTAATATACCCAAAATTTTTAAAATGTTAATTCTTGCAGAATTAGTCGCGATGGGTTAACTGATTTGCTTTTATCTTCACCTGTAATCTTATATTGATACCCCACCAGCATATACCACAGCACAGGCGGGTTTACCATTACATAATTTTTTATTTTTTTTTATACAACTTAGAATGGCAAACAAACTGACGGGCCACCTGATAGAAAATGGTAACCGTCGCCTATAGACATGAGCAGTAGCATGGACATAACAGAGTATACTGTTTCGCCCATGATACCCCCATGCGTTGCCATTCCTGAGGGCTCAGGTGTTATTCCTCTGTACCCAGTAAATTCACGCCGTATCCCACCCTTCAAACCGAAACAGAGCCATGCAAACACAGCTGCTTCACGGTTGAAACACGAATGGGACAGAGGTACCCAAGCAATCGACTTTTGTACAAAGTCTCCATCTGGTAATTTTTATCCATATAAAAAGAAAATTACCTGCATTCCTCGACTATCGCTTTGTATTAATTTCTTCAAATTTTCCTTTTTTCCAGAGGCTTTAACAAACGAAGAATCATAGGTAAATAGTGTCTTAAACATGTAGCATGCCCTTTCTTTTTTTTTTTTCATCAAAGCAATGCCTTAATTAGATAAAGAAAAGCTAAGCAGCTGCAGGTACTGTTGCGAGGTATCAGTGTACATACACGAGTGTTTACGAGCTGGAACCTAGTTAGCTCGTACGTTACAGCTCCGCACAGACTAGACGTAATAAAACACACAAAAACTATTTATTTATTATTCGCGTATACATAAGAAAAGCAGTCGAGGAACGCAGGCTACTGTGTGGGCTTTAATAAGGTATGAATATGAATGGAAACAAGAATTGCAACGCATGGGGGGTTTCATGGGCGAAACGGTATACTCTGTTATGTTCATGGTACTGCTCATGTCTATAGGCGACGATTACCACTTACCATCAGATGGGCCGTCAGCTTGTTTGCCATTCTAAGTTGTATAAATATATATATATATATATATATATATATATATATATATTTGGCCATGTGATTCTAGCATATAATAGGCCACAACTTGCTTTCTCATGGGTGTCGTAAGAGGCAACTAAGGGAACTTAACGATCGAGGGACGAGCAACAGCGTCGCTTTTAAAACATGACCAAAACTTAAATGCAGTTGCCAACCCGCCTGCCAAGCCTGGCAACTACAGATGATGATAATGTGTTCTGACACGCATATGGTTGTGCGAGATTTGACAAAATTGCTTAAGTTCTTCGGCTTGTTACACGAAATTCGGACAGTTTGGAAATACTATATATAACTGGCTATTATTAATATATTTATTAGTACATATATGTGTACATGGCGGAGTTAATGCTAAAAGCATTCTCTCCCAGTCAACCATAGGGAAGTGTCAGAATACACGAATGCGGTACTAGTAATTATTGATATACATACATACTAAAATTACATATATAAACGAATAAATATATATGAACAATAAATATACTTATACATATATAACATACACTATATTATACACGAAATTGAGAATAATTTTAAGTACTTACTGCTCGGATAAAGTAAAAAAGTGAGCGTAAAGGTTTTTTTTTTGAAAGAAGGTTTAATCGGTAGTTTCTTAATGGCATCAGGAAGCGTGGTATATATATATATATATATATATATATATATATATATATATATATATATATATATATATATATATATATATATATATAGGAGTTCATCCAAAAGCCTGGAGAGAGTTAGTGGCACAGGCTACACAATATAAATACATCAGATATGAGGATACGTACAGAAGAAGACATAATTTTAGTTTTCCTGAAGTATTCGTAAGACACCTAAACCTTTCAGGCACTGTTACCTGTTCGTATCAAGGCATGTAGATGTAACTTTTTTTCATACAGTCTTGATCTTTTTATCTCTTTTTTTTCTCTTATCTTACTTTATTCCTTATGAGCATTTACACGATGATGGGATATCAGTGAGTCATGATAGGTTAGGATGAAAGCGGATCTGTCGATGGTTTTTTTTTATACAACTTAGAATGGCAAACAAGCTGACGGCCCACCTGATGGAAAGTGGTAACCGTCGCCTATACACATGAGCAGTACCATGGACATAACAGAGTATACTGTTTCGCCCCCCATGCGTTGCCATTCCTGAGGACTCAGGTGTTATTCCTCTGTACCCTGTAAATTCACGCCATATCTCACCCTTCAAACCGAAGTCTCTCTCTGGTAATTTGGTTCCCAGGCAGGTTCGCATGAAGGTAGATTTAATAGAGTATTGCTAGCAATAGGGTTGTTAATCCCAATTACTAACAACTCCTTACAACCTTGAAGTACAAAATTTCAACTCCACGGAAATCAGTAATGGTTTATAAGCCGTTCTACTTTGATTTTTCGCAGGCGAAACGTACCGAACGTAACGAGCTACGATGCCTTCTTTTTACGTCAAATTACGAACTTTATACAGCTATGTTGATGGAGTGTAACGTTAGGTGGAGCCATTATATGCCACGAGGAGGGATGAAGAATCACTCTGGAGGTCATTGACATTACATTCGTATATTTTCACTGCAATACGATCCTGCGTTTTTTCTTGGATGGTTCGAATAATTAATAGAATGTTATGACGAGAGAAAATAATGGCTATTGCAGTAAGTCGTAAGGTACAAAATGCTTTGCCCTGAACAAGGATAACCTATAAATATTGCAAAACTCATCTCCGTTAAATTCAAAATCGTGTATATTTTCATCTAAAAATAATTTAATATTTATAACAAATGACTTTATGTAAAAATTACGTATTCGTTGTGTATACATTATATTAATGTCTGTAAATGACCTGATGTTATTAAGTAGTTATTAAATAAGCAATTTGTACGTTTTTTTTGTGTGAAAATGGAGTAGTAATTCCGCCTACGCTATCAGTATACGCTGGCGGGACACCAGTGATAGACGATAGTTGAGGATGAAAGCAGGTCAGTTGACCCGTCGTGATGAATTCGACAAGAATTAACCACGATGCTTTCCAGGGGGAACCGCGTGGAGGTGACCTGATAGGGTATATTGCTAGCAATGGGGCTGTTAGAATACATTACTAACAATCCATTTTGCTCCACTAGTAGATATTAATGTTCAAGTATTGAACATAATAAGTTTGTATATTTTGTTCTGAAAGAGTAAACAGAGGGAGACTTTGTACAAAAGTCGTTTGTCTGGGCACCCAGTCCCATTCGTGTTTCTACCGTGAAGCGGTTGTGTTTGCATGGCTGTGTTTCGGTTTGAAGGGTAGAATATGGCATTGAATTTACAGGGTACAGAGGTATAACACCTGAGTCCTCAGGAATGGCAATGCATGGGGGTATCATGGACGAAACAGTATACTCTGTTATGTCCATGGTACTGCTCATAACTATATGCGACGGTTACCACTTTCCATCAGGTGGGCCGTCAGCTTGTTTGCCATTCTAAGTTGTATAAAAAAAATTAGCATGTGATATTTGATATAAAGAAATGGAAAAGTTAATTTCTGTGCCTGCAAATTATTATGTTCCAGGACGAAATATAAAAAATAACAGCTAATTAATTCTAAAACCTAATGAAGTATTATTTTATGGTAGTCAAAAGTCAAAAGTCGATTGCTTGGGTACCTCTGTCCCATTCGTGTTTCTACCGTGAAGCAGCTGTGTTCGCATGGCTGTGTTTCGGTTTGAAGGGTGAGATATGACGTGAATTTACTGGGTACAGAGGAATAACACCTGAATCCTCAGAAATGGCAACACATGGAGGGTATCATGGGCGAAACGGTATACTCTGTTATGTCTATGGTACTGCTCATGTCTATAGGCGACGGTTACCACTTTCCATCAGGTGGGCCGTCAGTTTGTTTTTCCATTCTAAGTTATATAAAAAAGAAAAACGTACCCGCATCTTTTTAATTAAATACAAAATTAATATAAAATTTAGACATCAATACGTTATCACAATAAAAATGTGTCTCAACTTGATAATCTATTCTCGTATTAATATCGGATTATCGCGACTGAATTTATTTCAACAAACAAAACGAATCATTCCTATGTCAATATTAGAACCTTTTTCCGTGGCTCGAACACTTAATTGGGCGGAAACGAACCTCTGCCCTCTGTTTACCCTGCGACGGGCAGCCATAAAATCACTAAGCCTGGAGGAAACCTTGGACTCTGACATAAAACGCAGGAACTTCACAGATGCCATGAAGACAAATGGAGGTATGCTAAAGTCACGCTCACAATGGTTTGAATTTATTATTGCTCCTGAAAAGGCTATTAATAAACTTAAGGTTAAGGAATGATGTGACACTGACAGGACGTTTTT